TGCTGAGGAAGGATCTTGGAACTGCAGGAGCAGTGGACCTGAGGGGCAGGGCTCTGCATGAAGCTAGCCCCCCTCCCATCCCCACTGAAACCTCCCAGAGGCAGGTACCCAGTGTGCAGTGGGTATGAGGATGCATTCCCTGGGGTGGGAGGGAGTGAGAGACGCCGGCCATGCTGAGCCCATCCCCTTGAGGTCAAGGGAGGGGCTGGCTGGAGCCACTTCAGGGTGGGGTGGGTGAGCCTGCCTCTGGTAGCCTATTGGTTTGCAAGTTGCTGTCGCAAAGTACCACACACTGAGTGGCTTAAGCAACAGTCTTTTGCTGTCTTACGGTTTTGGAGGCCAGCCGTCCCGAATCAAGATGGCGGCAGGGGAGGATCTGCTCCAGGCCTCTCTCCCTGGCTTGTAGGTGGTCGCCTTCTCCCTGTGTCTCCTCACATCATCTTCCCCATGCATATCCATGCCCACTTTATCCCCTTTTTCTGAGTCAGGGTCTCACTCTGTCACCCAAGCTGGAGTGCAGTGGTGCTGTCATGGCTCACCGCAGCCTCAAATGCCTGGGCTCAAGCGATCCTCCCGCCTCAGCCTCTCCAGTCGCTGGGACTCTAGGTGTGCACCATCATGCCTCGCTCACTTTCTTAAAATTTTGGGTAGAGACTGGGTCTTACTGTGTTGCCTGGGCTGGTCCTGAACTTCAAGCTTTAAACGATCCTCCCGCCTTGGCCTCCCAAAGTGCTGGGATTGCATGCATGAGCCACCCTGCCCAGCCAAATTTCCCCTTTGCATAAGGACACTAGTCATATTGGATGAAGGGCTCACCCTATTCCTCTGTGACCTCATTCTCACTCACTTGATGATACCTGCAACAACCCAAACAAGGTCACATTCTAAGGTACCAGGGGTTAGGACTACAACGTGGGAAGTGGAGGAGCACACTTCAACCCTAACACCTGGGCACTTCCCAAGTCAGGCGGCTGCTTGTCCACTCGCTGGCTTGGACAGGCAGGGCGGGCAGCAGGTGGCTAGGAGCCTGGGCCAGGAACCAACAGCTCTTCCCTTTGCAGTACGGCTTCAGGTGACTTACTTCACCCACCTGAGTCCTCGTCTCCAGGCCAGCGATAGGAAGAGGGCCTGCTGATAAGCTCTTGAGAAAACGCACACCGAACCTTTGGCACCGTGCCTGGCGCACTCACCCTTCCCCATCAACAGCTTCATTCAGCTCCTTCATTCAAACACCTCCTAGGCATCTGTTGTGTGCCAGCTGGGGCAACGCTTAGAAGGAGGCTTGGAGGATGTGTAGGAACTTCCCAGAGCCCGGCGGGGGCAGCGTGTGCTCACAGAGGGGCCCTGGGCAGGTGACGCACGGGCGTGCTCGCCTCGGTGGACGCACACGTGAGTTCTTGGGTCTGTGCAGTGGGGGACCCTGGCGAGGAGGACAGAAGGTGGGACTCCAGAGCCCTCTTACCGATGCTGCGCTTCTCACAGGAAGCCCCAGGGTCCTGAACTGACAGCCACTGCCACAGCCTGCCCTCTCCTCTTGGCCTTGTTGGTGCATTTGTCTGGGATTCCCTCCACACCTTACCTCTCGCGGCCATTTCCTGCTCATCCTTTAGGACTCAGTGCTGGAGCCACCTCTGCCGGGAAGCCTTCCTCTCATGACAGGGCTAGATAAGGTGCCTCTCCTCTGTGCTCCAGCTCTTTTCTGGTTGTTTTTGTCGTTTCTGAAATCCAGTGGTAAGAACAGCACTTTCCTGATGATTGAGAGATGACCTGTGAGTGTTGGAAGCCACTTTCTTTCCCTCCCTGGGGCCTCGCTCAAAGTTGCACACCTGAGAGGGGCTCAGAGGCGTGTTGACCTGGCCCGAGCGCCCTGTCCTGCTCTCCCTGGCAGCTCGGAGGACCCCTCCCCACCCCTCCCCAGTTTGGCTCCAGTTCACCTGGTGGAGGGGCACAAGGGGTCCATTGTGTGCCAGAGGGGACAGGAGTGGGGGTGATCCTCTCGAGGGTGGGGCGGAGGCTGGAGCCCAGACAGATGGAGCCCAGACAAAGCCCTCTTTAAGCGGGGATCATGGCAGCTGTGCTGACAACGTACTGCAGGAGCCCAGATATCAAAGGAACCAAATGCCCAGAGTGCCGTGAACTTGGCAACGTCTGGGGGTTTCGTGAAGGTCAGGGGTGGGGGATGGGTGTCCCTGCATGCTGCTCCCTCCCTAGCACTGAAGGCCCCAGAGGGTGCCCCTCAGGCTGGCCCTGCCAGTGTCCACGGAGCACTGGCATGCCGGGCGCAGAGCTGGTATCGGCGGTCGGGTTCCCGTGGCGTCCCTCGGGGACCCATGCCGGGGACGCAGAGCCAGGTTTTTTATCTCGGGTTGGGACTGAAATTAGAGCAGGGCTCATGCTGCTGGCTTTGGGGCCTGGAACGGGGACCAGATCCTGGAAGAGGCTTAGAAGGCATTGGGGCCTAGGCCCTGAGGAGTCAGCTGGTGGCTGGGGACAGGTGGGCCCCCAGGTGACTGAAGGCCCAGACTCCCTGCGTCCCCAGCCTTTGGCTGGCGGGAGGGGGCCTAGGTCAATGGCCTCATTCTTCCCCCGCACAAAGACGCGGCCCAGCCTGCCCCGAGCCCTCCCTGCCAGCTGGCTGACCTGGAATCCCATCTGATTGGGTGAGACTTCTGCATGAGACTGCCAGGGTTAGGCCTCTTGGGGAGCTGCCTCACCCTCCCTCCTCCACAGAGCGCCCCAGAAGGGGCCTTGCAGGTGCATGAGGGTCTTGGGCCAATTTTGATGCAATAACACAGGTGTGAACCCACCCCAGGCCTGAGTCAAGGTCTCGAAGGAAAGGACTTTGACCCCGAGGCCTACGTGGAATGTTGAGGGGAGTCTGGCGGGAGTTCCAAGGTGTCATCCTCCTGGGATGGGTCTCCTGAATCCTTGAGCTTGACTGGGGTGGACCCATGAGCCCCTCCTGGGTCCACGGAGCCCAGCTAGGAGCCCAGCCACGATCCCAGCTCAACCTCCTGCTGCCTCACCTTCGGCCTCCCCGCCCCCAGCGGCCCCCCCACCCCGCGTCTGCTTGTAAGACCTTCTTGGGACTGTCATGGCCTGGCTTCCTCGCTGACCCAGAAAGGGAGTGAAGCCACTGTCTCCGTTTCTTTGGAGGGAGGGGGATCTATGACAGCCTGTCCTCCTCCATGCCCTGCCATCTGTTAGGACTCAGTTTACCTCCTTGGGCAGTATCTCATCACCGGGGCCCAATTAGGTAGGACTAATGTGCACAGCCGATGTGGGGGCCTCACTGGGATCATGGTAACTGCTGAGGGAGAGGGCAGGAACCCCTCACTCCGCCCCCGCCCCACAAGGCCCCCTTGGGAGCAGAAGGAGTGGGCGTGGGGGGGGCTAGGAGGCTGGCCAGGGTACCAGCCAGGATCCAGACTGCCAGGCCCCTGGATCTGCCATCTCCTAGCCACACAATGTTGTGCCTCGATTTCTCTGAGAATAATAACCGTGATAATTCAAGTGGAAGGGTTCCATGAAGTCGATATTATTATTTGGGGGGGGGGGGG